TCCCCCACAGACGCCTCTACCTCTGCTCCCCCCAAGGTTGTTGTCGAAGATGAGACGTCTGCTGCCCCTGCCGCCGCACCCAAGGTCCCCTCCCCATCGCCCTCGCCAGCGCCCCTTTCAGGCTCGTCCACTCCTCGCAGCGGGAGTCGCATGCAGATCCCTATTCGCCCAGCCTTGATGGACAAGCCTGCGGACGAGATGCTATCCGGGACTGAGGAGGCCAACACCGACATCCACAAGAAGGGCAAGGATAAGAAGAAGGGTGGTCTTTCCAAGGAACAGCGCGAGCAACTCGCCGCTTACGAGAAGGAGCGCGCACGAATCCGTGAAGAGCGCGTCAGCACCCTCGCGCAGAAGCTGCTTGATCGTATCTCAATCTGGACCGAGACCGACAAGGGCAAGGATGTCACAATTGCCTTCCAGGAAAAGATGCGCCTGGAGGTGGAGGAACTCAAGATGGAATCGTTCGGTCTCGACATTCTTCACGCCATCGGTCAAACCTACGTCAGCAAGGCCACGGCTTTGCTACGCAGCCAAAAGTTCTTTGGTATGGGAGGATTCCTGAGCCGCATGAAGGATAAGGGTACCATGGTCAAGGACACGTGGAACACCATCAGCAGCGCTATTGACGCCCAGCAAAGCATGGAGGAGATGGCCCGTATGGAACAGCTAGGTGGCGAGGACTGGACCGAGGAGAAGAAGATGGAGTATGAAAGGAGAGTCACGGGCAAGATTCTGACGGCGGCCTGGAGGGGAAGCAAGTTTGAAATTCAGAGCGTGCTCAGAGATGTTTGCGACGCGGTATTGCAGGACAAGAAGATCCCCTTGGCGAAGAGGCTGGAAAGAGCCGAGGCTTTGGTGATTATTGGTGAAATCTGCTCAAAGGTATGTCCTCACTCACCTATTTTGTCATAGTCGACAAGATAACCTGCTAATGATGACGACGACGAACAGGCCAAGCGCTCCCCCGAAGAGGAGGGCGACTACATGGCTTTCGAGCAGCTTGTCGCCGAGGCCAACCTCAAGAAGGAAAAGGAGTCCAAGAAGAAGGACAAGGAGAAGAAGAAGCATCGTCACAGCAGCGATAAGGGATCTACCCACTCTGCCCAGGCTGCGGCCACGGCTGCCGATGCGCCCAACGTACCGAAGGCCTCGTCATAGAATGGCGGACTTTTGGGGTAGTGGCTTCGCGGTTGATGGTGGCTGCGCTTCCGTTGTTATAAAAGCTTTCAGTTGAAGCCGATTCGGCGGAGATGCCAGGCATGGGGGAGTCTTGTATCTCCGTTCTGTGGTTGGGCATATAGACGGTTGGCGGTAGATGGATTATTGGCTAAGTGGCAAAGACTGGACGAAGAAAGCGGATAGGGCCTTAGAAAGAGCCTGTAGGCAGAGGAGTTCATGTCTGGAGATGTTCAAGGGACGAGATTGGCGTGGTACCAGCGTCGACTAACGACGGGAGCTGGGTATCTGCAGTGGCACGGCTGAGGCATATGCGTGTGAAAAGGCTAGAGGACTAATACCCAGGATGTGTGGCAGGAAAGGAAAGAAAAAAAGTAACAGGCCAACCTATAAACAAACTCAGCTCTGTTCATCATCATCACTACTAGAAGACTTGCTTGATTATTGCTTCCCTATGATATATCGTTGCGCGAATCCACGCAAAGAAAGGACCCAGCTCTAGTGTCAATCGTCTTGACTAGTAGGTACTTCAGCTCGATTCATCATCGTTATAAAGCTTTGGAACTAAAAGGTGAAACTATGAGCTGAGAAATCCATCATGAGACTATCTACATGCCTCTAGGGGTATCATTTCTATAAAGTGGCCGCTTTTGCGGGTATATGCAATCTCTCACAGGCAGCCATACAATCTAGAACAACACAAATCCACAAGTACACAGCTTCTCTCTCGTCCTCCGTCTATGTCTCCCCTGACACGCACCACCAATATTAACATCCGAACACCTTCCGCACTCTCTCACACCACAGGGTCTCCTACCTAATCCATCTCGTCCATACCCTCTCCAGTTGAAGCTCCCGAGCTCTTCGCCGCCGCAGCAGCAGCAGCAAGCGCAGCCTCCCCATCCTCCTCACTAACGTAAATCCCCACCAAACAAGCAGCCAACATGCCCTCGTAATTCACCCACGGATGGATCTCGCCAAACAACTTGGTCCCGTCCCTGCCCGCGCCCCTGAGCAGCTCCGGCTCGCCGCCTGGGTGAAAAGGGATATAGGGAGTGATGTTGTACACCCTTCCGCCCAGCACCATCCAGGCATCTTTACCCTTGCGGCCCGTCATCTTCTTGAGGATGCTCGGCGTCACGCGCAGGTAAGGCGTCTCCTTGGGTAGGCCGCGCAGGTCTGCGGTCGGATGGCCTGATAGCCGCGCCCAGTCGAGAGGGGAGTGGCCTGGTGTGAGGACGACGGCGCGCGAGGGTTTGGCGGGTTTGGTGCTGTGGGTGGGAGGGGGGAAGAGACCGCCTGAGCCTCCACCTCCGCCTCCGCCTCCGCCTCCGGGGCCCCGATTCGGGAGGGGGCCACCGGATGGTCGGTTCGGGAGGGGAAGTGTGGAGGTGCCGGGTTGGCGGGTGAGGTTGGCGGAAAGGCCACCACCACCACGCGCAGCAGCGGGAACTGGCAAGGGAGGAGGGGGCATCATCATGCTGGGACTGGCTGTGCTCGAGCTCGAGGTTGAGGTTGAGAGTGATGATGATGTCACGGCCGGCTCCTCAACCTTGGGTTGTTGTTGGGGTAGCTCGGGGACAGAGAGGGTGAATGCCGGGACCGAATCGCTGGGGTTGGCCGCCGAGGCTTTGGGAGTCGTCTGCTCCTCGCGAGGAGAATCGGGATTATCGGTGGTGCCATTCTCCTGGATCACCACTGTTGGTGGTGGTGGCGGTGGAGGAGATACTACTTTCTTCTCCGGAACCGCTATCCTTTCCTCATCCTCCTTCTTCTTCTTCTTCTCGCTGACTTTGTCAATATCTTCTGGCTTAGGTTCCTCTATGCGTGGTATAGGGCGCTGCGGTGGACGGGGCAGTTGGTTCTGGGATGCTTGACGGTAGAGACTCCTCCAGAACTGTTGAAGCCATTCTGGCCGGCGCAAGATGAGGAGGACAACGGATGCGACAATCAGGGAAATGCCTAGCAGGGCCATGGTGGCGGGGTGGTTGCGCGGCTGTCGCGGGGGTGTTGCTGGTAAATGCGGGGAAAGAGTGGTCGTATGTTATCGCGGCATTGATGGCTGTATCGACTGATGTTGGGGAGGTTTGTGCCGGGTTCCTCTATCTGCCGTGTCGTGGGGTATAAGCGCGACTGGCGCGATAGGTATCGCGGGGTTGAGGAGGTGATCGACGGCGGCGTCTGCTTTAGTGTAGGTGACGAAGTGCAGATGGGATGTCAGCCGACAGGATAATAGAGAGCCTGAAGTCTGGTTCTTGGTTTGGTAGTGGGATCTTGTGATTCAGTTGCGCAGATGCCAAGCAAGGTTGATTGCTCTCAGCTGGGAAGGGTTTCGTCCAAGTTGGGATGAAAATGATGGTGAATCGAAATGCAAGAGGAGCACTCCAAGAAAGAAAGAACAAAACCCCACTTTGGGTGTCGCTGACAGCGCCCTGTTACAGCGACGGTGCGGGACAAGGGTGCCCGGCCCGGTGCCCCAAGTCGTCGGGTGACATGTGGGGCCGACCCAAAACCCCGATGCGCGGCGGGGTCTCTGTTATGCAAATGTGACCAATGCCGTAAATCCAATGTAACTTGTCCAATTTCCGATCCTTCACAATCCCTAACAGTTTCCTATACAGTACGCTTCCCCTATACACCCGCGGTAGACGAAATGAAAGAGCCGTTTGCCGTATCTCGGTTTCCAAGTGTATTTATTCTGTGGTATTTATGGAACGGACACTCCGGGATGCAGGGTCTTGCAAAACCCAACAACAATGGGACGGACGTCCAAGAAAGTTGAAGAAGAGAGGAGGTTGGCTGCCATCCATTGTCCAGGAGTCAGCTTCAATGCACTTGTTTGGATGAGGTGATGTGACCACGGGACGGAAAGAGTGACTCGACCAAATGGCATGGTCAAAGAATGATCAGTGAATGGTCAATGGCTCTTCAGCTGGAGATAAGGTTGATGCTGTGCTCCTGCAATAACACACTATAATCTACCCTTACTAGTAGATTTCACGTTACTTGGCTGGTGTCAGTCTGGAATAAGAAACTCCTGAATTTGTCTCTTATCCCTTTTCGTTTCCATTCACCCTGGGGACGAATTCCTCATCCCAACCTGGAACACCGGCCCTAAAGTGTCTCCTTCCATCTTGTCCTTCACACATTCCTCCCTGTCCAGTGATTTCAGCCAATTCAACCTGTGTCACGGTACACCACCAAGTGTCTTGTATTGTGTTGTCTTGTTTGGCAATGTCGCCCAGTCAGAATCAGGGGGTTCAACCAGTAGCCGGAGGACCTTCCCGTCCCATCTGTTAGTGTTCACAGCATCAGCGCTCCCTGTCGCCTACCGAACCCTGCGTCTGCACCTGCAACCTGCACTACCAGCAGCTGCAATGCCCCTAAGACCCCAATCCATTGCGCATTTCCCCCCTCGAGGGCCCAACATGGGGGCCTCCCGTTCGACCTCACCACTCCCGCCGAGACCCGTCTCCCTCGCTGTTCCAGTCTCGGGCAAGCCCACGATAAAAAACAACACCAACAACCAAAGGTCGCCTTCTCCGTCTCCCTCCTCCAGGCCCAAACCAGTGTCGTTGCCGTCGCCACAACCTCTCGATTCCGACCAAGATCCCGTACGAGGCGCCAGAAAAGCAAGGAAACCACCGCCTGCGGCAATTGTGACCACCACCATCACCCCTTCCGGAGCGCGAACAGCACACATCTCGACCTCTTCCCGACCAACAAGCGGAAGCCACCGATCAAGCACTACTGTTATTAGCAGTAGCAGCAAAGCCAGCAGCAGCAGCACCGTCGGAAAGAGCTCCTCCGCCGCTACCAAACCCTCAAGCTCAACTCCAACCCCAACTCCCTCCTCCGCACCAGCCGCCCTCGCATTTGCAGCTGCATCTCCTGCCGGCGCACAGGCGACCCCGACTTCCACCTCGTCCCGGAACTCCCCCATCATCAAAGGCCGCACAAGTCAACATGGTGCGGCAGCGCACTCGAACCTAAAATCAGGAATGGACAGATCGTCGAACGCGCAGTCGCCGACCGTCGCCAGAATGCCCTACGATCGGGCATCAACCACAACCACCCGACAGCCCCAGACGGCCTCGGTCGCAAGAGGCCTCAACAAGGCACCCCTTACTCCAAAGGTCACCACCACCGCCCGAGTCTCGACCGCATCCACCGTCTCAACCACCTCAACAAGGCGAAGGCCCGAGTCGGTAATAAGCAGCACCAGCACCCGGGACAGAGAACATGTCGTGTCGCCAGTGCCGTCTTACTTGACGGGCAACGTTACTCCGAGAACCGCGTCCAGACCAACTCGTGTCAACAGCAACACTACCACTCCTCTCGGCACTCCCAGCCTCGACCGGAACGACCAGTGGGATACGCGATCGAGCTTGTCTATAACCTCGCAAACCGCGGACGACCCCCGACGACCCATTGTTACCTTCAGCCCAGCTTCCGATGTAGGGGGGCCTAGACAAGATCCCGACTCAAAATTCTTCTATGCCTCCGAGGCCACACCAAGATCACCAGCCCAGGGGAGACCTCCCGTGCTCCAACAGACCAAGTCCTCATCTTTCTTCTACGTAAATGGAGGCACAATACCGCCAAAGGAGAACCCGGGTCCGGCCTCCCCTTCTCCTTCCCTGGGAGCGCCATTCCAGCAACAGGACAAACTCCTGAGCAAGTTTGTTTACGCCAACGGCGCATCTGACCCGGAGCCTCCGGTGAAAACCCGGTCAAGACCTTCGTCGGTAATATCAACAGCGTCCAGGGCAACATCGAACAGGCCCCCAAGTGTTCTTTCACAGACTCACTATCCTAACAAACCCACATCACCCATCAAGCTAACGCCTCAGACATCTGGAAGGAGTGGGAGTATGTCGGCTATGAATTCGCCTCGATCCCCTGTCACGGCTAGCGCTTCTCTAAGTCGTGAGACCGTAAAACGCAAGTCCCTGAGTGACCAGCCCGGCACGGCGCCTCTTAACGGGCAGTCAACAAAACGAAAATCTCTCAACGAACTTCCCTCTCGACCTGTTAGTGGATCGATGCCCAGTCGCCCCAGCAGCCTAGTTATGGCCGAACCACCAGCAGTAGCTAGGGTCATGACGCCGTACAGCTCTCGGCCTCCTTCGGAAGCACCATCGCCTTCAGTACTGTCCGTACCCGCTCCGTTCAGCTCCTTGTCTGAAAATATGGCATCTGGTGGATTCGCCTCACTCCTTGCCGCTGCCGAAGACTTCGTCGCCGAGGAAAGTGAGGAGGACGAAGTAGATGGGGAAGAGAGTGGAGGAGATGGGGAACCCAGGCGAGGCTCAGTAAGCAGTCCATCGAAATCATCTCCGCAAGACAAGGAGATATCAGACCTTGTTGCAAACGCGCGACGGGAGCGGAAGGTCCAGGATTTGCAGATTACGAACGCGAGTCTAGAGGCGATTAACCGCACCCTAGAAAGGCAACTGCGAAAACAGACGGCCGAGCTTCGGGCCTACAAGCGCTTGTCCCGCTCGGGGCGGTTAAGTGTCGGGCCCGCCCTAGTCGCATCTCCCGCTGATGCAGGGCTTTTGGCTGGGGCTGATCTGGACGCTCTCAGCGAAGAAGGCAGCGAGCTAGGAGCGGAAGACGGAGAACGGGATTCACTGGCGGAGGAGTTGGAAGATGAAGATGACGACCTCTCGGGATCGGAGGATTCCGCTGACATGACGCCGGCCACGAAAGCGCTCCGTGATGCTGAACGACGGGAAAAGGACGAAGAGAGGTTACGGCTGGATCTGTCCAAGCATCAGCAGTTGCTGTCAGACAGCCAAAAGATCAACCAGAGTCTGAAACGGTGTTTGGGTTGGACAGAAGAGCTGATAAAGGAAGGGAAGCGTGCGCTGGCGTACCAGGTGAAGGCAAGCGAGGTCGAGATTGGTGGGCGGGTCCTTGCCCCTGAAGAGGTAGAGGCTCGGGAGGCCCGGGAAAGGGAAGAAGAAGCCGCCGGCGAGGACGACACGGATACCGTCAACGATACCATCAACGATACCGACCTCGAGGAAACCGACAATGAGAGTATTTTCACGCCGGAGCCCGGCGTTCTCATGCCGCGACTGGCGGCCAAGTTTATCAACGAACAGAACGGACAACAGCAGTCCTGGGCGGGGAAACAGACGCAAGATAGGGACAGCGGAATTGAGTTACAACCCACGGATGGCGGGTGATGGTGCGAACCTCCCAATGATCAGTATGATGCCTCGGGAGGCAAAGTGGGATTCATAAAAAGACGCAACTTTGCGCGGCACAAGTTCAGGCTCAAAATGACGAACAAGAACAAGACCAAGACCAAGAACGAGAACAGCAGCAATAAACCTGCAGCCGCCGTGCGCGTCTCCCTCTTCACTTATTATTTGTCCCTGATTTGCATTGCTTCTTTGGGCATTGGCGTTGGGAGGTTGTTGTTAACACACTGCGATCAATATTATACCAGCGGATACGTCCTGGCTTTAGTACTACTACTACTACTACTCTCTTTTATTCTGTTGCCTCTCGTGGGACTTCCCATTTTGGGACAACGGAATGTTTTATCATCATCATAGCAACATAGCATTGAATTTGGCGGCGGCATTTCAGGGACAAATGCCACACTCTTTTCCACTGGCTTTACATCATTTTTTATTGGTTTTTTTCTTCTCATTTTCTTGATTGGATTTATCACCTATGTTCGGCGAGTCTCGTTATACCAAAGCTAGCTAGCTCACGATATACCCAGAAGAAGAACATTGTCTCTCTGTCTCTGCTCTCTTCTCCTCTCTGCCTCTCTTTCCACTACTAAGCAAAACCACACACCCTGCTCACTCTATGGCTGTCTCAAAAGTAGCCTTTTGTTGCTTTCCCAGCTTCTTTGTTCTACATTACTACTTTCATAGGGAGGCATTCATTCTGAAGGAAGGAAACATCTGGGGCGAAGAAAAAGGAATCTGGAGTCCAGGGGGCAACTCGGTGGTTTAGTTATTACTTGATCGGCTGGATGGGGAAAAGAAATCACATTGAAATTCAGTACAGACACCCAACTGGTTGATGCCCCTATATTTTGATACGTATTGCTGACCGGTATTTAAATGCGCGGAGGACAGGGAGTTGTGAAACTTGAACTATATGCCATGCCATCTTTACGCGTACATTCCCATACCCTTCAGAAGCGGCTCTGTATTCAAAGTACCAGACCTCTCGCAGGTGTTCATCTTTGTCATTAACAAATAACACCCGTATGATTCCGTGCATATCTCTATACCATATACATCAGCAGCTAAAACGCAGTAGATACTCCTCCCTCCACCACACCACACCTACTTCCTCCTACCAAACCTAAACTTCAACCCATCATCACTCTCATCACTATCCTCATCGCTATCCTTAACCTCGAACCTTCTCCCGCTTCCCGTCGTCGTCTTCGCTCTCTTCGCCGCCGGCTGTCCACCACCACCACCACTCGCTGGAGCACCATGCTTGCTACCCACACCGGATCCAGATGATACCTCGGATTGTGTGGTGGCCGTCTGCTGCGCCCTCCTAGCAGCAGCTGCCTTCTCAGCCGCCTTGGCCGCTCGCGACCTTGATGGTTCTGCTGCTGCTGTTGCTGGCTCTGTTGGTGTCGCTGAGTATGGTGGTGGTGGTGTTGATGAGTCTTGGTCGGCGTCGGAGTCACTACTATCCATCGCCATGAGCATCCTTCTCGTAGGAAGGCCATGAGACGTACTGTCGGTGGCATTGGCGTTACGGTTTTGTGAAGCAGCAGTCTGAGCTTGACTCTGCGACTGCCCTCCTCCTTGACCCCCCTGTGTCTGAGTGTTGCGTCTGCTAACGCTACCTGCGGCGGTGTCTTCAAGCCAGTAGCCGTCGCCCATGCCGTATTCTTTGGGTTTGACTTCCTCTAGCGTGATGAGGGGACGTCGCGGCTGCTGATCAACGGCAGCGCCGTCGCCAGAAGCGTTGTCGCTGCCACCACGCTTCTGCTTACGGAACTTCTTAAAGTTCCTCCGACCGTTCCAACGCGGATCCCACCTGCCGTCGGCAATGGCTTCTTCTCGTTCATCGAGGTCGTCGACATCGCGGTTCGGCATGCGCACATCGAATTCTTCGATGATGTGCAGACGGCGGATGGCAGCATAGTCAACCTCATCGTCGCCGGCGGCATCTAGCAACGCTTGACGCTCGGCGGCCGCGAGGGCATCGGCCTCTTCGCGCTTTTGCCGGGCGAGTTCAATTATGGGGTCGTCTCCCTTTTTGGCTTTCTTCCCCTTACCTTTGGCTCCTGTTTTTCCATTGCCCTTGGGTGAGTCCGATACTTTGTCGTCTTCGACAACGGCTGGTGGCTCCTCTGGTTCGGGAGTTGGCTCGGGGAGGGCTGGTTGTCCGGCCTCGATGCGCCTTCTTTTGGCGGCGGTGGCGGTGGGGGCAATGGCATCTAACAGTTCCGAAACGTCGTGCTCGGGAAGCGGCGACAGCGCTCGTTTACACGTTGGCTTTGGCTGGCTGCGGGTAGAGCGTGTAGTAGTGGTAGGACGTGATTCTTGCTCTGAAAATTCTTCGTCGACGGGTTCTTGTCGCTGTGAGACGAAGAGACTCTGGCTGTCTTGCGATGCGGGTATCTCCGTGGCTGGCTGTGTTGCCTTTGTGGCGGCAGCTGCAGGAATGTCTTCCATGGACTTGTCTTCGTCGGAGTCGGAGTCGAAATCGAAACCCTTGAAGCGACTTCGGCCGCCTGCACGGGCTCGTCGTTGAGGCGGGGTAGGCTCTTCATTCTCTTTCTCGGGCTGATCAACTTGCATGCGATCCTCCGACTGAGGTTGGGTCCTCTGCGTGGGATTTGCGGTTGATGTAGGTTGGGTGTCTTCCTCGAGGCGTCGTCGCAGCAGAGATGCATCGCAGGCGAGGATGGCCTCAAGAAACTCCTTCTGGTCAGGAGGCCGATGGTCAAGATGCCTGGCAAAGCTCGTGTAGAAGTTGGTCCACCATTCAACGTCATCGCCCTTTCCAGGAGGATATCGAACGACCACGACTCTTTTCCCCTCACCATCATCATCGAGCGACCCAGTTCCCTTTTCACCGGCAACCGATTTGACATAGCGCACAAAGTCATCCACTTCGGTGACGCCTTCCACCACTTCTTTGAAGAAAGCCTTGCCTTGGCCCAATTGAATCACGGGCGCCAGGTTCTCGTGTTGTTTCTGGTTGTAGAAAACAAAGCTGTACCCAGCAAAAACGTCTTGTCGCCGCTCGTCGGGTGCATAATCGGCTGGCGGTCGTTCGGTAGGCTCATCACCACGAGGTGGCAAGTGGTCAACGGCGTTGGGCCAGGCCTCATCGAAGTTGCTCTCCAATGCACTGGCCGTCCCCTCGTCAGCGTCATCAGACACTGCGGCAGCCGCAACAACGGCAGTGACGAAACTATCGGATACGATGGGTTTGCCGCTGACCAGTGCCTGAAGTGTCTTGGATGTGTTGCGTTTCTTGCTGACAACGTGGGTGGTGAGCTGATCGTAAGACCCTATGTATTTGATGTCGAGCTGCTGGAGTTGGTCACGTAGCCTCTTCCAGGAGCCAGCGTCGATTTCTCTCTTGGTAAAAGAGAAGCTGAGAGAACAGGGCGCCATACAATGCTAAAGTAAGCCGGTAAGTCAGTTTAGGTTACGTAGCCCATGGTTCGTTCATGTAGAGTTGCACATACCGAAGTGGGTGCGGGCAGGCGCCTAAGATAAGTTCGTTGACTGGTTCAGTGAGTACAACTGTTTGTCCGCGTATTTGTGTTCCGTTTAGGAGGGTGCCCTTTTTGGAATTCATCTCCTCGATGGTGACTCGAGATCGCGCGTGCGTGTTGGCCTGAAGAAGCTTTTATCAGCCCAGGCAACTTGTGAAATTCCTTTGCCGAAAATATAAACGTACACCATCGCCATCTACAACCTCATCAACATGAATGGTGATATGTTTCCGTGAAATTGTCTTGTGAGCAATGGCGATATTGGCTAAAGACCAGTTAGATGCTGTTCATCACGCTCGCGTTAAGGAACTCGTACTGTCTTCAGCAGTCCTACCAAAGAGGTAGACTCTGCCCGGTCGCAGCCATTTTCTTCCGTCTGGCCTCCTCGCTCACAGTCAGCCATCTGCTCTTTAATGTATCAATAGGGATGACAGCGCGACGACGCGACCGCCGATCTGCGTAGCACATAGGGCAACCTACCTTCAAAGACGTCACTCTCGAGAAGCCACATATCTCATCAACCTGACGATTCAGGACTGTGGATATTTAACTGTGTGGACTTTGGTGCGAATATGATGGAATGGATTGACGGCAATTTCCTACGCGTGCGAATGAATGCTACGCGGTCACTCCTCGTTTAATTGAACTGTTAACGTTGCGGGGCGTAAGCGACGTGTTGAGTTCCAGGGACTTTTCTGTCGCGGAAAGAGCGCGGTCCCACGTGAACACCTTGCAAGTAATCGAACTTGCCTGTTTGAGCCGTTCTAATTCCGGCTCGAACCTTCAAGGTTCTCCGGTTGAAGTTGCCTCTTGCCCGCAGCTAGTCCTTTGAAAAAAAAATGAAGGTACCTGACCCGAGGAAGTTTAACAATGATGGCGGGACATTAGACACACATTTGTGGTTCTTTTGTTGATCAATCCGTACCTTATCGGCTTTTGATCAGTCCTTCGCCTCGGTTTCTGATTTCAAGTCCAGAGGTGCCCTGCCGACTCGAGCCTACCTTTATTTTCTCGAGACGTGCTTTCCCTGCACGCTGCGGCCCCACCGTTCACTTTAGCGCTGGCTGCAGGGCGTTCCTTCTGTCGCCAGGGGGGAAATCTCTTGGCAATACCCCCGGAGTTTAGCGGTTGGCCCCCGACAGCCTGCCTCGCTGGTCGGAACGGTAACGAGTCATCGGTGAATGCCTGACGGCTGAATAATTGATGCAGGTATATAACATCCAGAGTCCCTTCCTCACAACTGTTACGGACTTTGGTGTTGTTTCCTTTTCGGTCCATTTGCCATTCGACACTCAGTCATCAACAAAACAACAATACACTCACCATCACTTCACCATCACTGTTCAAAATGGGCAAAGTTCACGGTTCCCTTGCTCGTGCCGGTAAGTTACAATCCTTGATGCTACTCACCATGCCTTCATCACCAAATCTCACACCCGTCTTCAGGCAAGGTCAAGTCTCAGACTCCCAAGGTTGAGGCCCAGGAGAAGCCCAAGACCCCCAAGGGTCGTGCTCACAAGCGCGAAATCTACACTCGCCGTTTCGTCAACGTTGTCACCGGCCCCGGCGGCAAGCGCAAGGTAGGGATCGCTCATACATTTACTCCGTGACGGGAGTCTTTGCTGACATATCGTCGGATTTAGATGAACGCCAACCCCACTGCTTAAAGAACTGACGCAAAAGGTTCTTTATTGGCTGGCAAACAGGCAGGCAAGCATTTCATGGCGTCTCCAGGCGTTTACTGATTTTACTTGCGAGGGAAGTGGTTATGGCGATGGGCAAAGCGGGAGCGCAGGAGCATGTCTTCGACTTGGGTACTCAGTTCATCCTTTACTTTAGGCTAGGTTTCCGGCGCACAGGCGTTTTGATGGAAGCTGATGATGCCCCCTTTTCCCAGCTAGGTACAATAGGAAAATCGGATCGTCCTCTTTGGACACTCATCCACAAACAACACTCTTCTTGTTTTTTTTCATTGTGTGAATCTCGAAAGCGGCATGATGTGCATCGGGTCATTGTGCATATGCATTGTATGCCTCTATAGAGACCAAGACCCAGAGGGGCCAAAGGGCACATGCCGCAACCATGAGACGAACACCCCCGGTTCATAACCAAAATAATACTGCGACATGTACAGTTGCAAAGAGGTGCTGATATCAGGTTGTGACATGGAATTCAGAGAGTATTAGAGGCAAAATCAGCGATAATCATTTACAGAGTTGCAAAGTTTTGTTGCCATCGGTTTCAACAATGGCATCCCCACGCGTTGGTGATGATAAAAGTGAGAACCTGGATGGCCGGGAAGGATGGAGTTCATGTTCGCAGTGGGTCCTCAATTACCATGATGAAACCGCCCGGTATTTCATGGTTCACGATTGCAAGTTCGCGACTTGTGACGGGCGACGGCCAGCCCTGTAGCTCTAGCAAGCAGAAGGGCTGGGGGGGGGGAAATGCCCGTGCACACTCAAAGCTGGTGCCAAGACTGACAGCTGTGACCCTAATTCTACCCCACCTCCCGGCTGCCAAACTGGTCAAAACCGACAGCCAGCCAATAAGGTGGGCGTTAGGGTTGGTGCCAAAGGCGGAGCGCACCAGCAAAATCCAGAAATCGCTGCGAAAAGCTGGGACCCCCACCAGGCGCCTGAGAAAAACATCGAGCACCTGCTGCACTCCTCAACCAGTCCACGACGACGACCAGCAACAGACCCTCCGTCTCCGATACCCTACCGGCAAACCGACATAATGGCTGATCGTGGAACTTCTGGCCCTCGTGGCGGCGGCTTCGCTTCCCGTGGCGATCGTGGTGGTGACCGCGGCCGTGGCCGTGGTGGACGTGGCCGTGGCCGTCGCGGCGGCAAGTCCGAGGAGAAGGAGTGGCAGCCCGTCACCAAGCTCGGCCGTCTCGTGAAGGCCGGCAAGATCAAGAGCATGGAGGAGATCTACCTCCACTCTCTCCCCATCAAGGAGTACCAGATCGTCGACTTCTTCCTCCCCAAGCTCAAGGATGAGGTCATGAAGGTGCGCAGCAACGATTTCCATGATTTCCTGAGGATGAGGATGAGAATGAGAATGGGGACGAGGAGGAGCGAGAATCGCAGGATTCGCGACATTGGGCGGAACTATTGGACTTGAGACTACGAAACGGGGATGCTGATATTGTCCTTTTCTCCCTCTACAGATCAAGCCCGTCCAGAAGCAGACCCGTGCCGGTCAGCGTACCCGCTTCAAGGCCATCGTCATCATCGGTGACTCCGAGGGCCACGTCGGTCTCGGTATCAAGACCTCCAAGGAAGTCGCTACCGCCATCCGCGCTGCCATCATCATCGCCAAGCTCAGCGTCATCCCCGTCCGTCGCGGTTACTGGGGCGCCAACCTCGGTCTCCCCCACTCCCTCCCCACCAAGGAGTCCGGCAAGTGCGGTTCCGTCACCGTCCGCGTAAGTTATACCCGTGATCTGAATCTTTGGAGCTCGAAGTGGTGCTAACTGCGGTCCTTACAGCTTATCCCCGCTCCCCGCGGTACCTCCCTCGTTGCCTCCCCCGCCGTCAAGCGTCTTCTCCAGCTCGCCGGTATCGAGGATGCTTACACCTCCTCTTCCGGCTCTACCAAGACCCTTGAGAACACTCTTAAGGCTACTTTCGCCGCTGTTTCCAACACCTATGGCTTCCTTACCCCCAACTTGTGGAAGGAGACCAAGTTGATCCGCTCTCCTCTTGAGGAGTTCGCCGACACTCTCCGTGACGGCAAGCGTTACGCCAACTAAGTGTCTGGCTGAGGGTGGTGCTCAGTCAGCGAGGATAGGAGGGTTCTTTCGGACGTCTATGGTTGTTTGATTGCATGGGCTCCGGAAATGGAATACAGGAAGGCTGTCCCAAAATACCTAGCGCGATTGATCTGAGTCCAAAATTGATGAAATGACCAATAACCAAGCCCCCTATTTCGATTTCGAGAAACGTTGTGAATGTTATGGTTGGCAGTGTTATGGGACAATGTGTTTGAAATGACCTGGTGTTGTACTTTCTCAGCTCTGATGCCCCGGACAAGTATCTTATTTGACGTGGATGGAATGTTGTATGATACCTGCGGTTGCTAACAGCTAGACAGATACAATTGACAACGAGATCAGACACTCGACGATCATGCGTTGGAGCTTTCCACTTGACGGATACTCGTCTGCTATGCTGGAAGTGACCAGTGTGAAAAGGCAATCCGGCAGAAGGGACTTCTGTCTTGACGACGGTCTCAACCGTTGCCCGTGACTATTCCCCTTGGGCCGGTCTTGCCTATTTTTCATGATGACGGTCGTTCGGGAGTCGACTAGGAAAGAGCAACTGCTTCTCTAGCTTGACAAAAGAGGATCATCTCCCCAAATCCCCGAGTGATGTTGTTCTACTTTTCTCCCCTCTCTTTCATCACCAATACTCTGCTAGGCTGAGCACTGTTCGTTCGCTTTTCCCCTTTTTGGACTCCGGATTTTGGACTTCTGAGTTTTGGAAGTGTATCGACTACCTACCTACACACCCGCCAATCTTCTCTCTTTGTATCGAGCAGAAACAATCATCTCCTGGCTACGATGCCGGCTGCCGCTCGTTATCTGCCAGCCCTCCTCCTTCTCCCCATTAGCCTCGCCTCCAAAGATGTCTTAAGCAACAAGGAGACACAAACAACACCGGCCTTCCAGCATGCCCATCGCCAGGTTGAGAGTGAGGAGCCTCATGAGCTTGAGCCAAACCAACTTGGTGTCCCCGGCTTGACAGTCGGTCCCAACATCCTGTCTTCACTGCTCAATCCTCCAGCCCAAACTACCCTTTCGGTTACAACAATTACTGGTAGTGTCGCACCCGCATTCGAGTCGAACTCTGCGGTCATCGGGGGTCTCATCTCATTACTCAACACGATCTTGGGCTCGCTTATCACCAGTCTTCCCAACGTCGGTACAGCAGTTGTCAACCCCAACGGCGCGCTTCCTACTGATGTCGCTTCTCTCGTACCACTCATCTCAGCCTTGGAGAGCGTTCTTCAGCCTGGAGGACATCAGAACACCACAACGTTAGCAGAAGGTACTTTGCCACCGATTGTACCAGTACTAGGTCCGACCTCTTCAGGCCAACTGCCGTTTCTAAGCCCAGCGCTGTCACTTCCGTCTTCATTGCCTGTCTCAACCAACGTGATCCCAACACCGGGGGTGGTTTCAGTCCTGAGTGCCATTTTGCCAACCGCGCCAGTTCCGACATCTGACATTCCGCTACTCATCTCCGAGATCAAACCCTTGATTCCCCTATTGAGTACAGATCTACCGTCAGTCCTACCACTTTTGCAGTCGTTCCAGTCAATGGTCAACTCAGAGCTTCCGGTCCCTATCCCGGAACTTCAGTCTCTCACGGCAGTTATCGTATCAGAGTTGGCTTCCCTTCCCCTGCCGACCTCTCTGACAGAGTTGCTCTCATCTCAGCTGGCTTCTGTCCCTGTGTCTGTACCCACCTCTGTGCTTCTGATCCCGGACATTGCTTCAATCTTGAGCGCCATCATACCAAGTGTTCCTCTGCCAACAGCAAGCATCCCGCCCCTGATTTCGGAGATCGCACCGCTGATTCCCATGTTGAGCACGAACATACCATCTGCCCTACTACTCTTGGAGTCCCTACAATCGATGATCAGCTCAGAATTGTCGGTTCCTGTGCCCGAAGTTGCGTCCTTGACGGCAATGCTTGCTTCGGAAGTGTCGTCTATCGCACAGGAGGTCTTCTCAGGAGCTACCATATTGTCATCAGAATTGCCGGCCATTACCCTGAACCTTCCTTCGACGACGATTCAGGTTTCGATCCCAACAAACCTTTTGTCAGAGCTCTCTGGTATATCACTTCCTACTGTTGTACCCCTTTCTCAACTCGCGGGGTCATTCTCAAGCCTTGCTGGTCCGTCAAACACTGCGTTGGCGGGTGACGTTATTGGCGTTATAGCATCGGCGTTAGTCAGCATGGTTTCGAATACTCCAGTGGACAGTTTGATTAGTCAAGTTACGGTGGCCGCGGGTTCAGCCTCCTCCGAGTCTGTTGGTGTAGGGTGCTCACGGTTGACGTTGGTGGGCGACTCTGCGATTACTGTGTCAGTCTCGTGCAGCTCTATTCCAACAGCGGCGCCCTTTGTTGGGGTATCCAGCTGGACAGATCCCATCACTACTTCAGCTTCGGAAATTGCTTCGACAATACAAGTCCCAGCTTCTGTGTTCACAGTCTTTGGGAGTCCTGCCGGGCAGCCATTCAGTAACTCTTTGTTTTGGACAAGCAGTAATTCGGTTTCAACTTGCACATTGAGACGCGGAACTTCGAACAGCCTCTCACCTCAGGCAGGAGGGGCAGGGCAGATGATACCCGTTGCCTCAATCAGCACGCAAACTGTCACAGTTACGTCCATGGAACTCAGCATTGTGGCCACCTGTCTCGGTGACAGACCGTAAGCGCTGCTGTTATCTTCGATCATCGTTTTCTCTGCTAACAAGGCTAGTAGAACCTCGATGCTCACATGCCCCTCTCTTCCTGCATGTCCCTCATGTCCCACAAATTTTCCTTGCCTACCTGATGACAGCGGCTCTTCTTGGGGTAGCAACTCTGGGTTTCAAAGCCATTCCGGGTCCCGGAGCGACGGCGGATCTGGGAGCGTCTCTGGCACCGGAATAGCTTCCGGATTTGGAGACAACTCTGGAGTTACCTCGTTACCGTCACCTCTCAACGGTGCCGGTTCGGGTCCATGTCCTAGTCAGGGTTACTTATGTGACGACTGCGTCAATGGATGGTTCTGTCCACCGCCTCTCACTCCCGCGCTGCCGGCTCCCTGTGGGTACGGATGGCCATGCTATCACTGCTCTAGCGGATGGTTCTGCATCCAGTCGCCAACTACCGCTCCCGAAACCGGTACCGCAAATCCGCCCACACAGGCGACTTCTGGGAATGCCCCTGTTGGAGGCGCTGTCGTGGAGATCACCATTACTTCAACACAATCTTTGACCGTGTTTGAAACTGCCGCTACAGCCGAAACGATACATCCTGCTACAGCAGGTTGGCAATATGGGGGATGCTACAAAGATGATACGGTTCGCGCGCTACAGAATGAATCGATCACGGCAAAGGTGATCGGTGGCATGACGACTGAGATTTGCGTTACATTCTGCGAAACCCTTGATTACCATCTGGCCGGTTTGGAAGCCGGCTACATGTGCTTCTGCGGAGATGAAGTGGTTGATTCCTGGCGGATTGCTGAGTCGGACTGCAGTGTCCCCTGTGAGGGAGAACCTGAGTTTGTATGCGGCGGAAACCTCGCGCTGAGTATCTGGAGTATTACTGGTCGTGTTCCTAAGGCTCCGGGGCCTAAAATGAACTTTACATTGCCAACATTGAGTCCAGGTCAGACGGAAATGGCGGACTTCACTGGAGCGGTTCGGCAAAGTCTCGTTCCCATGACAAGCGCAGTATGGGAATGGCCAGCAGACGAAGATGATCTGAATGATGATGACATTGGCACCGAGGAAGAAGTCTCTACGACTGCCATAGTTACCGATGTGGCCCTCAAGAACAAGCTGGCGAATCCCACGGCCATCGACGCGGAGGGCATCGCATCCAGTGTCCGCGCTATTGTTTCCGTTGCCCTGGATGAAGTCCAAAGGATGGCTGCATCCGAAGTTGCAAGAGCAAAGGCCATGATTGATGAAGCACACACGGTCGTTGGCTAGCAGCTGAACGATGTTGTCAACGGCACACTCCCGGAAAGGGTTTCCTTGACACCCTGCACCACGACCGTTACAGCTTGTAGCACAATGACCACCATTTGCATAACAATCACGCGAACCACAACGAGAGGGACCTCCATCAGTACATCGAGCACAAGTATTGGGGACCAATCGAGCTCTAGCATATTTTTATTGCCATCGACGTCGTCCGTGTCAAGTTCCGCAGCCCAGCCGCCGGTTCCGACGGGGACTGTCAACGCCGCTCCTCAACAACCGCCATTTTCTGTCAACACCCTATCTCCAATGTCTAGCATAACTCCACTATCCTCGACCGAGGTGCCGTCACTCTCGTCAACTGTCCTATCTACGCTGTCAGGTCTAACGTCAACAGTCACTGTCCCAGAAATCACAGTAACTATACCAGAATCAACGGTTACGGTCCCTTCAAGCAAGACACTTAGTGCGCATCGATCGTTCCCGCCAGCTAGGTCTGTCCCTACCATTATTCCTACTCCCTTGGGTGGTACTGGTGCAGCCCCGATTTCGGATGGGCCCTCTAGTTTACCGACATCAAACACGTCCGTGGTGTTCTCATCTACAGCAATGACTTTGACATCAATGTCTTCTCTACCTTTGGAGACCTACTTCTTGCTGTCTAGAGTCGGCCGGCCGTTTAGCGGTTGACCGGTCGTCTACACATGTTTATCATACGTAATGGTGACCAGCAAAGGAATTGTTTAAGGAGAAGGAACGAAATTATGAAAAGTGGAGTGAAGCTAGGATGATGATATGAGTGGGGGTCTTTTTGGAGCACATTACAAGCAATATTCCTCTTCGGTTAATGGATGAGACAAGGCATGGACTAGGTAATGGATGCTGTATTGGAGGCAAGGGAAGTCACTCATATGTTTCTGTTGTTGATGGTTTAACGGTTTTGATTTCCTTTGTGCTGTTATCATGGTTGAGATTTCTTTTACTTGACTTTTTGGAAGCCATATGCTTTGCTACTTTACTCTTTTTCATGTTGAGATTCGCTTATACTATGTATGTGCCTAATTAGGTGCACAGAATATTACCACTCTTTTAATTCGAGATTCGCAATCACAAAAGTCCAGTCACTCTCTACAGTTTCTATCAGCTGGATGTGATGGTCAAAGCCACGTGGTTCGTGAACATGCCGTTCAACCTGACGACAAGATGTTGTCTACACCACTATGAAAACAAGCCAAGACCTTCTCGAAGGTTATCGAAGGGCGGGTAATAGTGAGTCAAGCTGTCAAACTGCAAAACTTACGCGAAGTGACACGACTTAATGCCAGTCGGTGCAAAACGGATGCATAAGCGGCTTGTGTTAAGGTGTCAAGTATGTACAGCCGCAAAGCTTATTTGAAGGTCTGTCTCACTGATGTTTTTGGGGAAATTGGGGTGTTTGAGTGTTGGGGTAGGTAGCTCATACCTAGCTCAAATTGGGGGTCAAGGACCGGGAGGGAAGGAAGGGGCATGGGGCAATGGGGAGGGGAGGAAGGTGAGAAGGAAAGAGAAAATGAGGATTGAAGAGGGGAAGGAAAGGTTGGAGAAGGGAAGGAAAGATTGGAGAAGGTTGAAGGGTAAGTTTTCATTAGGAGAGGGAAAGAACTCAGAGCTGGCTGTTGTAGGGAGTTAGTGAGGGGACTCAGGGGAGTCGCATGAGATTCTTTAGAGGAAAGAGGACGGGAAGGGAAGAGGGAAACGGTGGGTAGGTGCTGTAAGTCGTTGGCCAGGCAAGTACGAACAATCAGATATCAGAGATATGACTTGGCAATAGAGTTCGTTGGTTGGAAGTATTGGTGATGCGTAAGGTGGTGATGATTGTTGCTGCTTTTCTGTTCAAGGTGTTGGGGTAATCTCTCTGTTGTGTGTCTTT